AATCAATATTCAGTTGCCTAATAACGCGTGCGTCACATTTCCACCTTTTCCGTCATGCGACGTACGTGTCCTGAAATCCTTGCATTAATTTAACAAAAAGGTATGGCTTGGAGAACGAATGGGGAAGGGAAAAAAATATATGTACAGAGTCAGAGAGGCAGGAACGAAATACGGAATCGTACTGTAGCAAAATTTTCGTATTACCAGGTCAGAGCGACATTGCTTTTACCAGACGCTCTCCAGGACGCACGTTCAATTAATTTAATTGCGCACCAGGTATACCGATAACTTTCAACGTCCCGACACTCGATGAGTCGCAGCTACCGATGCTGCCACGACCCCTCGTCGATATTGCGGCGAGCCGCATTACATCCTGCCGCCACGATGTGACACGTACTTTATGGTTGTGTAGAACACGTACTGGCCAGCTTGTAACGCACTTGTTCCATGGTAACTAATGTTATCTAGCCAATCGGCCAATCCTCATTTTAAACTCGACCCCTGTAGGCTTTTGCGCTAGTTTCACGTCCACGGGAGAGGTTGGAGGTCGTAGTCACGTGTCTTTGGTAAATATATATCGGGCTTGCATATTTAGACAGGAGAATTCGAAATGTCATTAACCTAGCTGGCCTTTCGTGAAAAAAAAAAGAAAAAGGTGAGCTGCTCGTGCAGAGCAATGTGTAATTATGAAATTTTTTAAAATTATTACCCCAGCTGACAATACTTGTTTGGAGCACTCGATTCTAGTTGAATCTCTCGTTTATTTTGTAATTTAATAAAATCCCCTGTTGCAGCTTTGCGACGCTTCGGGAATCCGTTTCCAAGAAGGATCTCCGGTTGGAATTCCTGCTGTTCGACGTGGAATCAATTCCTGTGGAATTTATCGTTACTCTTCGGAATTTATTGGTGTCCCTTTATCGGAGAACAAAGGGACGCGTCGATTTTCTTGGATCGTTAGTCTCAGAAGACTAATGCACTCCTTTGGTTATGTTCCATGTTAAAAATCCCGCGTCGCTGCGATATCGCGTTCAGGCCGTGTGCTATTGCAAATCCCGATGCGAGCGCCCCAAGCGGAGCGCGAGTGAGTCGCGTGTGCGCTAGGACCGAGAGGACTATTGAGAACCGAGCGCGAGAAGGCCGACGTAGATAGAGCACGCGAGAACGAGCAAGCGCGTGTGTGCGTTGATACGAAAAACGTTTGTAAAGTGCGGGAGATAGAAGAGAGAGAGAGCTTTTATAGAAAAAAATATATAGTGCAATCCAATATATCAAGAGTGCGCTCGCCCGGCCTAACCTGACTGGAAATTCCTGCTGGACGAGAGCCTCAATCGAGTGATGCCCATTCGCTCACAGACCCAATTGGACTTAAATGCGAATTTGTGCCCCGGAACGATCTTCCATCGGTCATTTAACGATATTGTAGGCTATCCTTATCTGGCGGAGCCTTTCCAAACATTTAATGCTCTGTTCAGTCGGACGATATATCCACTAGCCTACCTAGCCTCCGAAGTTTGAACATTCCACCCTATCCTAATCTTACCTAACAGAATCTTGAGTAAACTAATGTAAAACCACATACAATGTACTATGATAATAAGATATCGTTCGGACCTAATTCTATTCCATCTATTTAAAACTGGAGAGAATTTTCAGTGAAATGTGATTTCCGTCCAATTGGGACTGTGGGCAAGTGGGTCCCCTCTCATAACCTTATGCCAGAGTTCATGCATCTATTCTAATAACCCAACACGTGGATTACTTAATCGGTCGGTACCGTAAAAACTGAATAATTTTTTATTAATTTTTTTTAAACTTTGATTCACATATATACCATATACATATGTAAGTTCACGATGAAGTCGTCTGGCAGCAACGATTTTCCAAGCAAAGCTGTTCATTGCGAACGCGATAAATCTTGGTTTTAAATATGCTAGAGCCACTTCACCGGTTCCCACTCGTATTGCACCTAGGTCAAAGCTACCCTTATTTTTTTCAGCGAAACTGGCACGTGCACCCTTCATCGAGGACTTGTAAAATCGTCAAGCGTGTTATTTCCAAAGGGAGTTGGCTTCACGAAATGCTTCTGGCCATATCATGAAAATTTTACATTGCAAATTTTTCATCTCTCTCGGATAGCATTTTGCCTGTGATTCGGTGCTTTAGGTACGAAAAGATTTATCGATGCGATAAGAGATTTTTGAAAGAAAAAAATTTTCCGCAATACGATATATCGATCGTAGATATCTGCGACAATTTTTTTTTTTCCCCACGAATGTAGTACACGTGGGAAACATTTATACTTTTTTTTTCTCTGTTTCTCTCTATTTCACTTTATCCACGTGGAATAAAAATTCACTCTGTATCTCGCTGGACCTCTCATCCAGCATTCCTAGAGCGCGAATTGTGTTTTCTCGAATAACACAAGTCTGGTTGCGAATTCTGTAACTCTTTTCTCCTCTCTTGTCCTTTTTCTACCTCCCTCCCTCTCGCCCTTCTTCTTTTTCTCTTTTTCTCCGCGTCGTTCTGCTCCTCCGACTCCTTCCGCAACTGCGGACAATATTTCGGGCAGTTCGATCAACCTGCTTCTATTGCTATTCCTGTTCCTGTACGTATCCTCTGTGTACAGCTCGTGCTTCTGTGTCACGAGTTTCCATGAATGCGATATCGTTTTCCCGATTCTGACGATAACTCTGCAGCCACCCTGTATAGTTATTGCGAAGAGTTCCTGCGCCTGGACGCTCACCGTCCTCACCCAACGGAGTTCAGAGTATTTATTCTTCGAATTTCTCTGGTTTCAAATTGCTTGGTTATTTGTTTGGGTACGTCGCAGATACGCTGATCGGATGCTGGTTAAAAAAAATTTTGGAAAATTTGAAAAATTAAAATATTGCAGTTTTCCCATTTTTTTTTTTTTGGTTAAAAGGTGCTACGATCTATGTACTCCCTATTTACGCGTATCTCGTACAGTCGGGAAACGTTATGGCTGCGAAAGATAGTTTCGGTCAAGACGCAGCAGCAATTTCCGGTGTTCGCATAAATTCGCATTACGTCGGCGCGCGTCGGCTTTCAACTTTCATTTAACCGGCTTTAGTTGTAACGGCGTTAGGACAAGCCTTTGCTCAATTACTGCGTCGCTAGTTGGAAATGAACTTTCGCCATTTATGTTCGTTCGCTCAGCGAGTCTTGATCTCCCTTGGGAATATAAAGAGTATCGAAAATTCGATCGCTCGAATGAGCTGTAGAAAAATTTGTAAAATTCCAATAAAATTTGGACTCAGTTACGTCTAAGTTGCTTAAATTTTATGTTGCGTATCGAATATGTCAAAGTTATATAAATACGATACGGGGCTCGCTGGATCGTTAAATATATTTTTTAAATATTATTTATCTCATTCACAAATTTGAAAAAAACGAATATTTATTTTTCCCCGGGAAAAAGTCATAGGTGGAATATAGTAAAAAATATATTTTTTGCTATATGCCAGGTATGTTATGTATACCCAAAATGTATAGTGTACGTAATATAGTAATATATACTCTTTACGCATACAAGAGAAATATAATGCGGTAGTAATTGTATATTCAAGACGTGCATAATGTATTATACCATTTTTTTATATTTCACTTATATGACTTTACCGTGGGGGTTGAAAAAGTCACGCAACTGAAATATCCAGTAAGTAACGTTGAGAAAATTTCGAGGTGAACGTCGAGGTAGGTTCCTCGGCCACTGTACGTATTCGCACCGACATACGTGCACACCTAGCAGAGTCCACGGGTTTATGTATCGTGAGTCTGCGGAACTGGAAATGGATTGTGGGTAAAGCTGGCAACAATTTCCCGGACGCAGGAGTAACATCGGGTACGACATTTTCGTTAAACTCAGTGTGGCCAAATCGAATCACGTGGATTTCGCGTTAACAATCTTTTGTTTGACTTTGCGCTCCTCGGCGCTGATTCACTTCGACGAACGAACTTTTCGACTTCGTTAGGATAAACCCCCCTTTTCGCCCCC